AATGCTTCTCCGCTTGATGCTTCTCCATGTACTTGGCGCGCTTCCCGCCCCTCCCGTCGCCATGCGCACACGCGATTCCTTGCGAAACCAGGTTACCAGCTTCGCCGACCACGGAAATCAGCTTCACCGAACCTGCTCCCGAGCCTGATGCCGAAGCTGCGGTCAGTGCGGCGCTCGCCGGCGAGCCTGAACCCGACGTTAGGCCGAGCGCGGCAGAAGAGAGGACCGTGGGACCGTGCGATTCGAATGCGTCAGCGGAGGCGACTCGCGTGCTGGACATGCACTGCAGGGACGGCAAGGCCGCTGCGAGAAGCGACGCCATTGATACGACGATATGTGAAATTACGAATCAGGAGCTCCGGCGTGACAAGTTAGGTCAAATTTGGTCGCCGCTGCGACAACGCTCCGTCAAAATACAAGAATCAAATTCCCGCGGACCAGGACGGCTGATCAGGACCAGCGGGTGAAGTGTAGATAAGGTGAGGCTCTGAACAACGGAAAAGGGCTCGCCAATATGGCGAAAAGAGCTGTGACCGATTGACCAGGGATGCTGATGAGGTGAGGCTCTGTGCTTTCCAGTGGAAGAAAAGATCAGTGAGTGTAGAATGGTTACGGAAGGGAGAACAATATGTTATGAGAATCGACGGTGAATCGGTCACTGCTTGACGAATCCTACGGCTGCAACCGAGCTGGTCTGGTCAGGCAAGGTGAATGATGAAGCAAGAAACGAAGCAGATTGAATCATGGAAACAGCTGAATTGGGGCTGGTCAGGGAGATGTGATGGCTGGCCATGTTGACAGCATGACATGGGGACGCCAGTGGAATGGATCATGGGATACAAAGCAATGAAATACGTTGTAGTAGGGTTTAACAGGGTGCGAGCAGTTGTGGTGGGAAAAAGATCAAGTTGGAGAGGGGAATAAGTTGCAGGAGGGAGGAGAGGTTGAGGAAGGGAAAAGGTGTGCATGACGCGGTGCAGCAGGAGGATCTTTTTCGGTTGAACCCGTGCAGCCAATGGCGTGATCTGCACATGCTGCCCGAGCTACCTGTAACCAGTGGCACAGTAAGGGGGTGACCCCTTGAGCACTCCCTAGAAGCGCAACTTCACGCACGAGAGAAGGGCAGTGGGGACTGGCAGGATGAACTGATGGCAATTTCACACGTGCAATATCTTCAAATCAAACTGCTTGAGATAGTCACCCTCTTTCTACGTATCATTCGGGGTGATGACGAGTGTGGCTGCAAGCGATTAAACTTCATTCGTGCCCATAACACTACACTGGATCAGTGAAATGTGGCTAACCAGCATATGATGGTGGGTAAAGTGCTAGCATTTAGAAGTTTCAGGGCAGGACAGATACCACTGCTGCGCGCCATACCTGTTGCTAAGCTCTGTTTCCACAGCGGTGAAACCAGGAGAAGACCATGACCCGAAAGAGGATGCGACAAGCGAGGTTCTACGGTACGGCAGCTCTGGTGGGTTGTTACGAATATGGGTACACAGCTCGACACTAGAGACCATAATGGAAACGCGGACTTCCAAACCCTATCCACTAAAAAAATGCTTACGTCAAGAGTATTGTTCATGACATGGAAACACACGCCAGATCCTCAATCGGCGCCTACAGTAATATTTAGCTCTGGCATTGTCATTCGAGGGAAACCGGGTTCTCTGGACGTCGCGTGGGACGGGCTCCCCTGATGACATGAATGACGTGGATGGGGAGGGTTCTGAGGTGTAGCGATGGTTGCGGCTGGAGATTGTATAAGCCGCTTCATTTTTCGTCAGTCAGGGCTTTTGTACTCCATTTTCGTACACATGCGTTACAATATTTCAACACTCTTTATTTTCAGAACGTGGGCTACAATGTATTGTCCCATACCACCCTATATCCGTTCCCAGGGAATACCAGAAATATGATATGGAGATTCAATAAGTTCTTGAGACGGATCAGTCAGTAGCTGGTTTATCCAGATTTGTTCAAAACCACTTGAAATTTATATTGAGAGCACATAAAACTCTAAGAAACGCATTCCTCCGTATTCCATTTTACAATGTTCACTACACGCTCATCCAGCTAGGCAATCCCATGTTCGTGCGCCACACACGTTGTCGGCCGACTGGCAAGGTGCTCGAGGTCGAGGCCTCTGACTCATTCATTCCTCAGCTATCACAACATTCAAACTGGGACCACGCAGCAATCAAGGTTCTATCGAGACGATAGCTTGCATACGCATCGCCCCGAGAATCGCACTTCCACCCGACATTGCTTATCTCGAAACGGACGGTCAGATCGCACTTATTTCTGTCACGATTCTGACTGTACATCATGCCTCGTGCCATGACAACACGGAACGAGTCCCTGAGGTCCTGGGAACGTAGCAGGTTATGCGAGAAGGGGGAACCCTCGAGCACTTCTGTACTATATCAGACTGATCTCGCTTGGGTGGGAATGCTTTCCCAGGGACGATGGCCACACTCGCATGGTTGGGAAAGCGTTCCGTGACGGCAAAAATTCGTTGCTACGATAGCACCAGCTTACTCGGCGATCAGAGAATCTCGTTCGGACTTCACTAGTCGACCAATTCACTTACATTCAACAGATGATAAGCGCATTCGACAATTCTGATCTGACATGGCTTTCAACGTCAATTTCCATGTCCAAGCTTGTTTGACGAATCGCGGATTTTACGACCGTACGATTGAAACGGGCGAGACCGCAGGATGCGTCACGGATGAAAACGACTGCTTCTGTAACGATCGCTCGCTGACTGAATCAGATGTGACTGTCTCTCACTGTTTCTCCTGACGAACTTCTGTTATCCGTCTTTGACAGACTGTTCCAGTTCCATCTGCCATACTGCTGCCTGCCATGCGAGACACGTCAGCAGAGAGGTCATGACGGGTTAAAAGCGGTAGAGCAGGACTTTGCAAATCGGAAGCAGCAAGTTCGTTTTATGGCTCTCGGGCAGCAAGTGTGCCTTTCTCCTGATCTGACCGTTGAGCAAGCCAAGCTTTGCGCGGGTTCAACCATAAACGTGGCTTCCTTAAATACAGCGCGCGGAAAACGACGGGATAAGGGCGAGGTGAAGGTTGAGCAGTTCAAGGTTGCTCCTACTCCTGCATCTGCAGCTACAGTTCCTCACCTTTCTTGTTTCCTGTCTCCTACTGATCCTGCTGCTACTCCTGCTGACTTTACCACCGCATTGGACCCTATTAAGCCCAGCAGCAAGGAAGACGAGGGGCACTTGATAGGAGCCCCAACATGGATTGGCGGAGCAGAGAAAGCAAGAACCGAGGACAGTCTTAAGCCGTTCAGCTGCTGTCTCGGGCGAGCATGGTTCACTACTTGGATGTGATGCGTGGGTGGGATGAGGATCTGTGCGCGTGCTGCTTTGACCGTGCAGTGAGCCGGAGAGCACAGCGAGCACTTGCGATCAAAGGCCTGGATGTATTGCGGTGCCATCTGCAGGAAAAGCAGCCTCATTCCATTCCCGCCGCTGCCCCTGAGCAGCAGCAGCACCTCCAGGCCGTTTTTGAATACTCCAAAGGGGTAGCAGTGCAGGCGCTACAAGGGAGACACGGACTGTCGTCTCAAGAGCAGTTTGCATGGAAGGTGGAAAGGGCGCCTCGCCTCTGTGCGGAAAAGATGCTTCTCGAGTGGATGGCTGAGCCTCGTGTGGGCGTGCTCATGGACCTGGGGAGGATCAGATCCCGCCTGCCTGTTATTCTGTATTCTACAACAGCTGCTCCAGCTGCTGCTTTCTCTTCTCCTGCTCCTTCTGCTCCTGCTGCAGCTACTGCTGCTGCTCTTGCTGCTGCTGCCCCTCCTGCAGTGTGGTCGTGTTGCTGGCGCTGCAGCAGCTGCTGGGCTGCCTACCGCCGTGCTGTCAGCTTCTCCACATTCCTCGTGCTTCTGGCGAGATCCCCCCGCCTTGTGACTCTATGGAGAGCTCACGTGGTCTCGTATTCGTCTGCCTGGCCAGCGATCGTGGCTGAGATGGGGGCGGGCAGGCAGGTGGAACAAGACTGCTTTGCGTCCATGCTGGTGCAGGTGCTGGGGGTGAAGGAGAGTGCTGATCTGAAGGAAGGGTTTGGGTTCTTTGTGCAGGATCTGCTCTCAGAGGGGCTGGAGAAGGCGCATGCAGAGGGGAGGAGGGGTGCTGGGGGGAAGGCTGCTGAGAAAGCGCAGGGGGAGGGGAAGGGGAGAGGGTTGGCTGAGGAGAAGGGTGCTGAGAAGATGCATGGGAAGGGCAAGGGCAGATGGGAGGCGTCACATGGGAAGGACGATGGGAGACACGGAGAGGACGAGGCAGAGGGCAAGGTAGGGGCATCTGAGAAGTGTGGGAGGGTAAGGAAGGACATGAGTTGGAGGGATAAATTGAAGGGACCTGTGTGGGAGAGGTATGTGAATGGTATGGCTTGGATTCTGGAGCATGGAGGGGGCGAAGGGAAGGAGTTCAGTTGCAGCCACTGCAGTGAGGGCGGCAGCAGCAGCAGCAGCAGCAGCAGCGTGAGAAGTTGTGGCAGCAGCAGTGGGAGCAGCAGTGCTCCGAAGGGGATGCATGTGAGTGGCGTACATGCGACCGATTTCGCCCTTGCAGTCGCCACAGTGTTATCTAAGCCAGAGCATTGGAAGGATGCAGAGCTGTTTTCGCATGATGGCAACACTGCGAGCAAGATGCAGATAGAGAGTGCAGCTATTCTGGTGGCCAGGAGGAGGCTGCTGCAGCAAGGCGTGAAGCAGACAAGTGGGATGAATGGACGAGCAGGAGCAGGGGTGGTGGAGGGAGCTGCGACTGCTACTGCTGCTGCAAGCATTGAAATGAATGCTAAACTCATGCCTGCCAATAGGCTCGTGCCTGTCAATACGAATTCTGTGGTTGCTGCGCTCACGTATCGGGTCAGTTGCATCTTGCAGTGGGTCCGAGTCTACGGCTCAGATTCCATCTCAGAGAAGCAGTGCTTCAAGGACGACCCTCAGATCAACGTCCGCCCATGCACCACCCGCTTCGGGACCTTCCGAGGCTTCTCGTCAGGTTCGGCGCCATCCCCAAGCCTTTGGACAAAAGCAGCGCTGCTTTGGAGTGGGAGGAGTGGCCGCAGGGCGACGAAGCTGCTGCGAAGTTTCCTGTGAACCGAAAAGAGAGGTGTTTTGGGCTTGGGATTGTGGAGAAGCATGGTGAGGGGGCTGAGAAGCTGACTCAGCATCCTCCTTGTGACACGTCTGAAGCAGGAAGGCGCGGCAGGCATGCAAAGGAAGAGGAATTCAATGCAGTAGGCCAGGAAAGTGGTAAGGAAGTCGTACAGCGCATAGCGCGTGGGGTACTTGAAACAGAAGGGGGCGGCAGGAGTGCCAGGAGGAAAGTTGCCAAGGCAGCAAAGAAAGGTGGTTGGGCAGAAGCCATAGAGAGCAGTGTGCGCGAGAAAGCGGAGGAACTTCAAACCGTCGAGCAGAGAGCAACGATGCTACCGCCGCCCAGAAGGAAGCTTCCCATCGTTCGCTGCCGGGCAGATGTGGATTTCCTGGTGGGATTTGCGGGGTATATCATGGATCCTCCTGCGTGCACCCAGTGCAGCATTTGCTTTGGAGATTTTATGCAATCTGTGTGCACTGCTGCTCTCCTTGCCAACTTTGCCTACCGCCCCGTCAGCCATCTGTTCTCCCGCGTGCTCTCAGTCTTCCCGCCTTCCTCCCGTGGCTTTGACGAGGTGGTTGAGTGCTTGGACTTTCCACCAGCGCGCCTGCCGAAACCCCTGAACCTGCATATGCTGCTGAGGCGCGCCGAGCAGGTGCCTCTGTACTTTCTCATTCGCGTGGCAGAGAGGTTCGCGCATCTTCTTTTGGGGGCGGATGATGAGTTTGAGGAGGAGTGCAGTGTTAGAGGGCGGGCGGGGCGGTCCAAGGTGCAAGGCTGCTGGTATGATGAGGCGGATCAGGAGAACGGTGGAGAGGTGTGGGAGGAGGTGCGGATGTGGTTTTCCGCAGCCATAGCTGCATGGAGGTTCTATGTTGGGAGCGAGGGAGAGAGCGAGGAGTGTAGAGGCAGCAGGGATGGAGAGAGAAGGGCGGAGGAGTGGGACATGAGGTGGGTTTATGAGGCAGCAATTGCATCGAGGTACTGTGAGGGGTTGCAGGGGCAGCGTGGGACTTCCAAGGGGAGCAGCAGCACTGCCAGCAGCACTGCCAGCAGCAGCAGCAATAGTGCTTCGAGGGTTGGCAGCAGCAGCTCGAACAGGTGGAGTGGTAAGCAGGGGGAGGAGCCGGCTTATCTGAAGGCATGGCCGGGGGGAGTCAATGTGGTGGCATGCTTGCGCGAGATGCTGCTGGGGGAGCCGTGCTACCGCCCTGCCTCCCCTGCTGTGATTCCCACCCCTGCTGATTCTTCTGCACCTGCTGCTGTGAGCATTTATGGTGGTGCTGCTGCTGCTCCAGACGTGCAAGGTCGTGTGCGTGGTGGTGCAGGGTGTGGGAGGGTGGAGGGCGGTGGTGAGAAGCTGAGGAGGTGCGGTGGGTGTGGCAAGGTGGCGTATTGCAGCAGAGAGTGCCAAAAGGCGCACTGGCCCTCTCACAAGCTCACGTGCCCCGTCAGGACCAGCGGGAAGAGGAGTGGGGAAGATGGGAGCAAGGATTGCAGCTGGAAGACAGGTGGGGAGAGTTTGTTTTGTGGAAGATCAGTGGGGAGAGTTGGTTTGAGGAAGACAGGTGGGGAGAGTGCCACAAAAGTTGGTGCAGGAAGGTGTGAGGATGATGGATAGAGAAATGGGGTGGTCAGGAAGGTGTTGCAACAGTGGCAGGCAGAGTTTCAAGCGAATAGACGAGAGTTACAACAAGGAGGCTGGCCAAGTTCAGGGAAGGAGGCATGACATTGACTGGAGGCCAGGGAGAATGTGCTGTGCTTCGTGGGTGGTGGGAATCGATTGCGAATATCGAGGGGCTGTTGTTTCGACAGATTGTGAACAAAGTTACGAAGGGCTAATTGCATTACGAATGTTCGATTAAACGGTTTCCTTTCTGCTCGTAGGCAAAAGAATGGTCAACACTAGCACAAGGATTATGGTGAGGAAGCTCGCTCCGCTCCTGCATCTAGCCTAGGAAGAACCTGCGCCACGATTGCCAGGGCAAAAAACCGCCTGCACAGCAGACTCAACGAGGAACATGGTTATTGAATGCGTTTACCATAGCTGCATGGTCATCAACAATCAGAAAACGGATGTTGCATGTATGAGTGTGCAACGAACATCCACCCAACAAGCAGTTGGGGGCGGCCTCAGTATCCAGCACAGCAGGCAGAGCCGCAAAAGAAGCTTCCCACCAGCCACGTGACGGATTGCATCATCGAATCATTCCACATGCCACATTCCTTCGCACATTCACACACAGAACAGACCTTCACATGCGTGCCACAGGCCTTACACACATGCATGCCACGCCCCTTACAACTCGCAGTGCCACGCCTCTCCCCCTCTCACGCACCACAGGCGGAGCAGCGGCGGTAGAAGCGCCCCACGAGCTGAAGCCCCGACCCCTGACACGCCTCACAGCGCCGCTGCGCCGCCTGAGAGGCGAGGGGTGAGGGGTGGGGAGGGAATGACTTCATAGGCGCCTAAGAAAGAGCTGCAGCCCTGATCCCTGACACGCCTCACAGCGCCTCTGCGCCGCCTGGGAGGCGAGGGGTGAGGGGTGGGGGAGAGGGGTGAGGGGTGGGGAACAACTACTATAGGCACCTTAGAAATAGCTGCAGCCCCGAGCCCTGCAATGCTCACAATCCCGCTGCGCTGCCTGCGAGGTGAGGGGGCGAGGTTTGAGGGGAATGGGTGCGGACAGAGAGGAGGGGAGGGAGGGAGGGAGGGAAGGAGGGAGGGAGGGAGAGAGGGATGGAGGGAGAGAGGTAGAGAGGGAGGGAGGGAGGGAGGGAGGGAGGGAGGGAGGGAGGGAGGGAGGGAGGGAGGGAGGGAGGGAGGGAGGGAGGGAGGGAGGGAAGGAGGGAGAAATGGAGGGAGGTAGAGAGGGAGGGAGGGACACGGGTAGAGATGGTATGGAGAGGGGGAGCAGGCGGGAGGCAGGTGGACATCGTAGGCAAACAATGCAAGCGGGCCATGGACGGTAGGCGACTGATGGCACGCAATGGATCAGAGGCGGTGGCTAAAGGTGGATGTGAGTGCTGGGCGAACAGGGAGAACAGGGAGGGCGACTCACAATGCGCTTGCTGAACTCAATGGATGCCACGATGAAGGGGATCACGCCAGCTGGCACATGGTGATTGGTGCAGGGTCGAGCACACAGAGGGGAAGACAATGGGGATGGTGCAGTGGGTGCGGGGATGGCAATGAGGAGGGCGGCATGGCAGGGGGGAATGAGACGAGGGGAATGAGATGAGGGGAATGAGATGAGGGGAATGAGATGAGGGGAATGAGATGAGGGGAATGAGATGAGGGGAATGATGTGAGGGGAATGAGATGAGGGGAATGAGATGAGGGGAATCAGGTTAGAGGCGCTTTGGCGAGCACATGGAGTTGAGGTGAGTCAAGAGGATGCTGCACCCACGTTCTCTGTCTGATCTCTGTCGGTTCTCTGTCTGTTCTCTGTCCGCTCTCTGTCCGCTCTCTGTCCGCTCTCTGTCCGCTCTCTGTCTGCTCTCTGTCTGCTCCTGCAATACTTCAAACTCTCTCACAACTCTGTACATACCAATAGCACCAACCACGATTTGCCATGTCACCTCCGACCGTCCTCCACCTCCACCCACCCCCAGGTCACCCGAAGCAGCAGCAGCAGCAGCGGCAGCGGCGGCAGCGGCGCGGGACGAGTCTGCTAGGCTTGGAGCCGCGTCGACGACAGGAGCCGCGGAGGCTACGTGGCCCGCAAGGGCGGCGGCGAAATCCACGGCGTCTGGCGGAATGGCAGAGCACTGCACGCGATGAGGGCGTGGCTGCGCGTGCAAGTGCGAATACGAATGCGAACGCGGTTGCGAGGAAGGAAGATGTCTAGTCGTGCCTCCCACGCCGGCCGCCTCTAAGCGCCGGGACTTCGCGGCTGCGCGGTGATCGCTCTTGCGGCTAGGCTGTGCGCGCGTCGCCGCAACGGCGGAGAGCTGCGCGCAGCAAGGCGGAACGGAAAGGCGCTGCGGAGGAGGTGGCGCGCTTCGGAAAGTCTGAGAAGCTGAGGCCGCCACGTGTGTGGTTAGTGAAGAGCGAGCGAGCGCGTGGCTGGAACGCGCTGAGTCGCATTCAGGCGGCGTGCTGCTTCCCAATGCTGCAACGCGTAAGTGGCCGTCAGGCGGCGGCTTGACGAGTAAAAGCGCGATGGTCCGAGCCATTGTCGCACCTACTACGGAAGAGCAACTGCACATTCAATCGTGCAGCAAGTAACTCGAGACTTGTGCTGAGTTGAATTTGCATGAATGTCACGGGGAGCACGCACAGCATATCTTTGTGCTGAGATGAATTTGAACGACTAAGGAGTGCTTCCGAACGGTCCGCCATTGTCATCGTGGAAGTCTCTGACGCGTGTCGATGGAGAAAATTCTGTGATGTATGAGCAGACACGTTGCATCGTAACCACGGGCTGAGGGCGTGTTTGGTCATGATGAGTATCGTAAGGAACAAGGGAGCGTAGAATCACTGGACTTATCATCATGCTGGCAAATCTGTAGTGTGAAGAACAAAAGATTACGTTTCTCGCACTCTTCCTCCTACAGCAAGCGACTAAACATGCTGTAATAAGCACAATACTGACTAGGAAGATATCCGATTAGATTGACCTTAGTAAGCTGGTACACGAGCTAGGATAAATTCCGCTCTCCATACATCTTCCCAAAACACGCCTGTCACAGTTTACAAGCAATACCCACCGCCACTGCTGCGATCAGAAGTTGATCGTGGCCTAGGATCTACTCAGGAAGGTTCGCACGCAGTAAGATAGTTTGGTGGGCCCTTGACCTCAATAGCAGAGTGAATGTAAGATGTTTGAGATGAATAAAACATGCAAAAACAAGAAATATAAATATGAGTACAAGGGAATACGAAGCGACCTAACTAGCCATTGTTAAACTGTATTATGCTTGTAGGCTGTAGTGGGGTAGCCAATATGGGGTACAACCCCAACTAGGGTTTCATATTTGTACCCAAACTTCTGCTAGTTCATCATTCTTGCCTAGTGATTCTGACATGGTATTCAGAGCAGGAGGTCCCTAGGACCTACCGACCGTTTTTTTTTAAGGGCCCACCACCGCTCGCTGCGGTTACCACGCTACCCCGTGCCCTAGCCTCGTAGCGCCCTCGTGCGCCCTCGTTAGCGCCCTCGCGCGCCCCTCGTTAGCGCCCTCGCGCGCACCCTCGTTAGCGCCCTCGCGCGCCCCTTCGTTAGCGCCCTCGCGCGCCCCTTGCTAGCGCCCTCGCGCGCCCCTTCACTAGCGCCCTCGCGCGCCCCTCGCCGAGCCGCCCGCTCGCAGCCCGCCCGCCCGCTCGCTGCCCGCTTCGCGGCCCGCTCGCTACGCAGCCCGCCCGCCCGCTCGCTGCCCGCTTCGCGGCCCGCCCGCTTCGCAGCCCGCTCGCTCGCTGCCCGCTTCGCGGCCCGCCCGCTTCGCAGCCCGCTCGCTCGCTGCCCGCTTCGCGGCCCGCCCACTTCGCAGCCCGCCCGCCCGCTCGCTGCCCGCTTCGCGGCCCGCCCGCTTCGCAGCCCGCTCGCCCCGCTGCCCGCTTCGCGGCCCGCCCACTTCGCAGCCCGCCCGCCCGCTAGCTGCCCACTTCGCGGCCCGCCCGCATCGCAGCCCGCTCGCCCCGCTGCTCGCTTCGCAGCCCGCCGTGCTGCCCGCTTGCAGCGCCGCCTGCCCGCCGCGCTGCCCGCTTCCCGGCCCGTCCGCCGCGCTGCCCGCTCGCAGCGTCGCCCTCCCGTCGCGCTGACCGCTTGCAGCGCCGCCTGCCCGTAGCGCCAGCCTCGCCCGCTGCTCTCTATCCGTGCACAGTCGCCTTCCCCTGCTGCGGCAGCTTGCGTTACTCTGTCACACTGTCACTATGGCTTCCATCCGCGTGCTGTCGTTCGATGCTGAGGGCCGCCCTGTGCGGTTCACCGCTTGGCTAGATGACCTGCAGCTGTTCCTCCTGAGCGATAGCAAGGAGCATGTGTCGCTCTATGATTACGCGTCTGGTGCTGCGCCTGCCCCTCCTGCCACAGCTGAGCTTAGTGTTCGTTCCCACTGGCAGACTCGTGACGCAGCTGCTCGCCTAGCCATTCGCAGTCACCTGCCGTTAGCTGAGCTAGAGCATTTTGGCGACTGCAAATCCGCTAAGGCCCTGTACGACGCTGTCGTCGCTCGCTACTCCTCGCCTGCCACAGCCGAGCTTAGCCGCCTCATGCTGCCGTACCTGTTCCCCGATCTGTCCACCTTTACTACAGTCGCCGATCTTATCACCCACCTTCGCACTAGTGATGCTCGCCTGCGTGCCGCCCTTCCCACCGAGTTCTGCGCTAAGAACCCCCCTCCACTGTACTGGACACTCCACTTCATAGTCACCCGTCTCCCTGACACCCTCCGCTCAGTTCGAGACCACTTCCTTGCTCGCTGTCCCACTGAGCTCACAGTCGCCCTCCTAGAGGAGCACCTGCTCGCGGCCGAAAAGAGCATTGTAGCTGTCGGTGCTGCTCGTGGCGCTCCTCGCACCCCCATCTTTGAGGGGTGTTCTCCCTCTCCCCTCGCTCCCTCCTACGCTGCTGCTGCTGCTGTTGACTTCCTTGGTGCTGAGTCTGTTGGCGCTGCTTCTACTCCTGGTGGGAGGCGCCGCACCGGCAAGGGCAAGGGGGGCAAGGGTGGTGGTGGTGGCACTGGGGGGGGAGGAGGTGGGGGAGGTGGGGGGGGAGGCGGTGCTGGAGGGAGCGGTGGCGGGAGCGCTGGTGGGAGTGGGGTCGGTGGTGGAGACGGGGGCGGCGGAGGAAGCAGTGGCAGTAGTGGCGGCGGCGGCGGTGGCGGCGGTGGCGGCGGTGGCGGCGGTGGCGGCGGTGGCGGTGGTGGCGGTGCCGGTCGGAGCGGTGGTAGTGGTGGCGGCGGAGGTCGGAGTGGAGGCACTGGCTCGGGCCAGAGCTCCCAGCAGCAGCAGCGTCCCCAGACGACCCAGCAGCTTCGTGAGTGGCTTGCTCAGCGTGGGACGTCGGGGGCCAGTGCCCGCTGTTCTTATGTCATTCGCACAGGTGACCGCAAGGGACAGACGTGTGGGAGGTTCCACACCCCGTACCGCTGCTTCTCCCGCCTTGACGACGCTTGGCGTGAGGAGATGGGTGCGGATGTTGAGCGCCCCCGCTGGGCTGAGCTCATGAGGGCTGGTGTTGATGTCTTTGCTCTTGACTATGATGCTATTATTGCTGCCATGTATGCATTGACTGTTAGTGCCGAGGGAGACTGTTACTTGTGTGTGCCGCCTGACCCAGGTATAGAGCCCGCTGCCCTGGGTACTAGTGAGTCTGCTCTCTCTGGTATGGTGCCCCCTGTACTTGCTCCCCCCAGTGCTGTCCCGGCTGGTTTCGAGTCTGCTCTCTCAGGTACAGCACCCACAGAGACTGCTCTCTCAGGTACCGCACCGGCTGAGGCCTGTCACACCTTCACCCTTGACTCAGGTGCTTCCCGTTGCTTCTTCCGTGACAGTACTGAGCTCACACCGCTTCCTGCACCGGTCCCAGTCTCCTTGGCTGACCCCTCTGGGGGCCCAGTCCTTGCCCAGTCCACCACTGTCCTCCCTTGTCCGGCGGTTCCGTCTGGCTCGTTGTCGGGTTTCCACCTCCCCTCGTTCTCGACGAACCTGGTGAGCAACGCTGTCCTCCAGGATCAGTGGGTTGACACCTTTACCCCTGGCGGACAGCGTGTGGCGATCTGCACGTGCTCCAGGACCGGCCGTCACCTGGCTACGTTCACCCGTCGGCCGGGGTCGAGTCTCTACACACTGACCACTGCGTCTCCCCAGGTAGCTGCTGTCGGTCAGGTGTCTGCGTCAGGTCTGGTGGCCCACGCCTGTGAGTGTCGTTCCCTGTCGCACCAGACTCTTCTCTGGCACCACCGCCTGGGTCACCCCTCCTTGCCACGCCTTCGTGGCATGCACCGTCGCCTCCTTGTGTCCTGTCCCAGGCACTCACTACATGACTCTGCGTCCCTCTACTGCTCCTCGGCGTGTCCCTCTACCGTCTCCTCCTGCGTCCTCTTTGCCTGCCGTTCCGGACCCTGAGTCTGACCGGTATCGCGCTGAGCACCCTACAGTCACGCGTCTCCTTGCTACTGTTGTCACTGACCCCACCTTTGAGTCCTCGGCTGCGTCTGCTCTGGTCGCTGAGTTGGTTGACTTTGCTGCTGTCTGTCGTCTAGACTACGCTGCTAGCCTTGTCGCTGAGTCAGAGTCTGCGTCTGTCTGTCCTCCGTCCGTCGGGGGTGAGTGTGCTCTTGGCACGGACGTCCTTGAGGACAGGCAGGAGGACTTTGACTCTCTTGCGGCTGCTGTACCTCATCTCGTGGCCTGGTTGCTTGCCCCTGAGGGAGACCCGGATGCAGTAGACATCCCCACTCCGCGCACTTACGCAGAGGCGATCTCGGGTCCCTACTCCTCTCAGTGGCAGACAGCCATGGACGCAGAGATGGCATCCTGGAAGTCCACAGGCACCTACGTCGACGAGGTTCCCCCTCCTGGGGCGAACATCGTCGATGGCATGTGGATTTTCAGGGTGAAGCGGCCGCCAGGTTCTCCGCCTGTCTTCAAGGCTCGTTACGTTGCTAGAGGCTTCAGTCAGCGTCAGGGGGTCGACTTCTTCCAGACCTTCTCCCCCACCCCGAAGATGACCACTCTTCGGGTTCTGCTGCACGTTGCTGCTCAGCGTGACTACGAGCTTCACTCTCTTGACTTCAGCACAGCGTTCCTGCAGGGCAGCCTGCACGAGGAGATCTGGCTGCGCCGCCCACCTGGCTTTACTGGGTCGTTTCCCCCTGGTACTCAGTGGAGTCTCCGCCGGCCAGTCTACGGTCTCCGCCAGGCGCCACGTGAGTGGCACGACACACTGAGGACTACACTTGCGGCTCTTGGGTTCGCGCCGTCTACTGCTGACCCGTCGCTGTTTCTGCGCACAGACACGTCGCTGCCGCCGTTCTACATTCTCGTGTACGTCGACGACTTAGTCTTTGCTACTGCTGACACTGAGGCACTCGCTCGTGTGAAGTCGGAGCTGCAGAAGAGACACACCTGCACTGACCTGGGTGAACTGCGTAGCTACCTTGGCTTGCAGATCACCCGGGACAGAGCTCGCCGCACCATCACCCTGACTCAGTCACACATGGTGCAGCAGGTC